CGTTTTTTTTTTTTAAAAAGACTAAACATACACACCTTCTTTTAACCTTTCTTCATAGGTCAGGTTTTCTAAACCTTTTATCATTTTTCTTGCTCTCTTCTGGACTCCAGTTTGTCCGTATCTTTTCTTAAAGTATGGCACTCAGAACTACACGCAGTACTCCAGCTGAGGCCTTAGCAATGTTGAGTTGAGTGGGACAGTTACCTCTCATATCTTACATATGACATTCCTGTTTATAAACCCCACAATGATATTAGCCTTAGCAACTGCATCATATTGTTGACTCATATTCAATATGAGATCCATTATAACCCCTAGATCCTTTTCAGCAGTACTACCACCTACTTATTCCCCATTTTGTAGTTGTATGTTTGATTTTTTTTTTCTTTCTAAGTGTAGTACTTTGCTCTTGTCTTTACTGAATTTCATCTTGTTGATTTCAGACCAATTCTCCAGTTTGTCACGGCTGTTTTGAATTCTAATTCTGTCCTCCAAGGTGCTTGCAACTCCTCCCAGCTTGGTATCATTCACAAATTTTATAAGCATACTCTCTGCTCTGTTATCCAAGTCATTAATGAAGATATTGAATAGTACTGAACCCAGGACTGACCCCTGCGCAACTCCACTAGATACACCCTCCAAGTCTGACAGCGAACCATTGCTTAACTGCTCTTTGAGTATGGTCTGTCAACCAGTTGTGCATCCTCCTTACAGTAGTTTCATCTAGAGCACATTTCATTTGGTTATGAGAATGTCACGTGGGACTATGTCAAAATCAAGATAGATCACGTCCACAGCTTCTTCCCTATGCACTAGGCCAGTAACCCTGCCAAATAAGGAAATTAGGTTGGTTTGGCATGATTTTTTCTTAACAAACCCATGTTGCCTTTTTCTTGCAACCCTGCTACCCTCTAGCATGTGCCAGCACCCTTGCGTTCAAAATTATTTCTGCATTTAAACAATTATGTTCATCCAAAAATACGTCCTCCCCATCATGCTAAAGAAAACAGCTTTTAGGGGTGGACAGGAAAACAGAAAGGAGAGAATGAAAGAGGTAGAGAAAAACATGAGTACAGGACTTTGTATTTTAAAAGGTAAACTCTGCCTGAGCCTGGGATCACTCCAATGCCTGTGTTAGGCTCAGCTCCGTATCTGCAGTAATGTTCTCCCATAAGAAGTACCAGCGATTGCACTCAAATTGTTTGTGCAAACAATTCTGATAAGGTTCTCATCTTCAGATGACAAGTCTGCAAAGCAGACAGACATCTCATTCTCCCAGGCTCCATGCTGGCTGTGATGTCTTCTTGAAAAAGCATCATCTTGTCAGGGGCTCAACTGAAAAAAGCAAACCTGGGCTTCATATGGAAGGCTGCATGGTCTCTCACAAGATTCATGGTGTCCTGGCCTTGCAGCATTTCCAGCCTTTCTTATATGCTCGATCTCCCTGCTCAGGGTCTCCCTCCCAATTCCTCTTGGCCTTTAATCCTTTGAGAGAGTTGGCACATGGTGTTTGTTGCAAGTCAGTGAACAATGGCTCTGGTTTTAGCTAGGCAGATCAAAGAAGCATGAGCCTGAACTGTTGTCGAAATATGTTTATGCTGTAAATGTTCAGGAAGATCCCCATTTCGTATGGACACATGCCTCACCCACAGCCACTGAAAACATAATGGGATGGGGCTGGTAACTAGTTTTCAAGGGCAGCAGTAAGAGAAGCCCTCTGGTTAAGCGTTTGTGGTCCTGTTCTGTTCTCTGGGCGCTTAATGTATACCCCAACAGGGGAGCACTTACTCTTGTCCCTATTCCAGCGAGTGCTCCCTTTGGGGTGAAAAATCAGTGATGCTCTACTTGGATGGCTTTGATTACTTTCCCCACCAGCCGCACATGCTCTCTCAAACCCCAGGGGCTCTTGAAGTTACGAAGAGTCCAACGGGTGAGACCCTCAGTTTAGATCTTTCTCAGAGATCTGATGCACAGTGTTGTTTCCAAATGCCCCTCTTCAGCATGTCTGAGAATGAATTTTCTTTTTCTCCCTCAGTGCTAATAAAAGGTCTTAAACAGCTGCATGAGAACCAAAAAAACAACCCAGGGCACCAGCTTTCGGAAAACAAATCTGGAAGTGGGTTATCAAACACTCATTCCAATTCAGGGGTTCAGCATGTGCAGATTCGAGTGGCTCACTTGGAAGAGAATGCAGGCAACTCTCCGAGTCCTATGGCAGCTTTGCAGATTCCCGTCCAGATTACTCATGTCTGTAAGTAGTTGAAACTCATACTTGTTATGTCCTATAATAAAACCGAAAAGTTTCTTGTTTTAAGATGATTAGGGCCCTACCAAATTCACGGCCATGAAAAACGCATCATGGACCGTGAAATCTGGTCTTTTGTGTGCTTTTACCCTATTATTATACAGACTTCACAGGGGAGACCAGCGTTTCTCAAATTGGGGGTCCTGACCCAAAAGGGAGTTGCAGGGGCAGAGGTCACATCGTTATTTTAGGGGGTCAAAGTATTGCCACCCTTATATCTCCGCTATCTTCAGAGCTGGGCAGCCAGAGGGTGGTGGCTGGTGGCCGGGCACCCAGTTCTGAAGACAGCGCCCCGCCAGCAGCAGTGCAGAAGTAACGGTGGTTATACCATACCATGCCACCCTTACTTCTGCGCTGCTGCCTTCAGAGATGGGTGGCCATAGAGTGGCAGTTACTGACTGAGGGCCCAGCTGTGAAGGCAGCAGTGCAGAAGTAAGGGTGGCAATACCATATAATGCCATCCTTAACTTCTGCGCTGCTGCTGGCGGTGGCTCTGCCTTCAGAACTGGGCTCCTGGCCAGCAGCCACTGCTCTCCAGCTGCCCAGCTCTGAAGGCAGTACCCCTGCCAGCAGCAGTGCAGAAGTCAAGGTAGCAGTATCGCAACCCCCCCTACAGTAACCTTGTGATACCTGCACAACTTTCTGGGTCAGGATCCCTACAGTTACAACACCATGAAATTTCAGATTTAAATAGCTGAAATCATGAAATTTACTATTTTAAAAATCCTATGACCATGAAATTGACCAAAATGGACCATGAATTTAGTAGTGCCCTAGAGATGATGAATAAATGAAAGTATCTTACAGAATTTAGTTCTGAGTGCCACTCGGATCTTGTGGCTATAGGACAGGACTGAGAGTTGGGAAACCTGCATTCCATTTCCAGCTCTACCTCAAATTTGATATGTGACCCTGGGCAAATCATTTGTAGATTATTATTATATTAATGTGTGCATCTGTACTGCAGTAGCACCCGGAGGTCCCAGTCGGGGCCCCATTGTGTTACACGCTGTACATGCGCACACACATCCAAGCTTACAATCTAATACTACCTTTCTCACAGGTTTATACAGGTTCCTATGATGGAAAATGCTATATGTGTTATTTATTATGACAACAATACCCAATAATTATCATGCCCTTGGCCCATTCTGCTCTTGTTCAGAAATCAATGAGTATATTGTTACTGTACATGACCTCCCTCGCACACATCTGAGACAGTGTCTGAAATGCTACAAAACAACTAGCACTGGATATGTTAAAGGATATGCGCAACCAATTCAGAGAGGAGGAGTTTGTACATTGCGCAAACAGGATTTTGCTTCTGTTTTCAGTAGCATTCACTGTAGGGTAATGAAAGACTCTGACCCTGTCTGTATTAAGGAAATTCACATACTTCAGTATGTTTACCCTTACTGTAGATGTGCTATGCTAACACAAAGCAAGGGTTACACTGACTGCTGGAGTAAAACCCACATTGGGTACATCTGCATGTGGGAGTTGCACTAGTATGACAACTGTGCCATGGTATGTAGTAGAGCCAAATGGTTACTACAGTGCAGATTCAACACCAATTAGAACAGGGGTCCCCAAGCTGGTGCCCGCGGGCGCCATGGCGCCCGCCGGGGAATCTAAGTGCGCCCGTGTACTGGCCGCCGGATGAGCATCCACCAAAATGCCGCTGACAATCAGCGTCATCCAGAGGTGTTGCCGCCGAAATGCCGCCGATTTTCGGCAGCATTTCGGCGGCGATGCCTCTGGATGACACTGCTTGTCGGCAGCATTTCGGCAGTGACGCCTATTGACATTGCCACTTGTCAGCGGCATTTCGGCAGAGGCTCGTCCGCCGCCACAGTCCTCCGTGGCTCGTCCAGACGAAAAAGGTTGGGGAGCACTGAATTAGAAGGTGTCAATATTTTATCTATAATTTTTTTAATGGAAATATATATACAACTTGTATCAATATGCTTGCATTCCTTTGCCCCTCCATCACTGAAATATCACTTAGGTTCTGAGATTGTAAATAATTCAGAGTAGGAACTGTCTTCTTATTGGGGATGTAAAATGTTAACCGATCAGCATCAGTCTTACCAGTAATGTATTCAGTTAACGTTTAAATGCCTAATGGGCACATTGAAAACGCTGCAGCAATACCATTTCATAGTGTCTGTGGAACTAGGTTCCACATTGTTAGGAGTCGGGACCATTGCTATGGAACTGACATCATAGGCCTGGGAACTAGGAGTGCTGCAGCGCCCCTACGTTGTACGTGGGGCTCTGCTGCTGGCCCAGGGCCCGGCTGCTGGCCCCGCGTCCGTCCCCAGCTGTGGCCCCAGCCTTAGCCTCCTTACCCCTGTCTGGGTCCCTCTCTCCTGGAGACAGGGCCATGCTCCTGGCCCCAGCTCGGGAGTGGGGGGAGGAGGGGGAGGTAAGGGGGCTGGCTTTCAGCACCTCCACTATTAAAAAGGTTCCAGTGCCACTGACTGATGTCACACTTTGGTAGCATTAAACCTTCAAACAACATCATGTAGGTTATAGCGATTTTTGATAACTACTTTTCCATAGTGAAGATGGAGCAATCAAAAAGGAGTAATGCCTGGAATCATTTCACAAAAATAACAGAAGACACCGTTAAATATAAACTCTGTAATATGGAGCTGAGGTATGCAAACAGCACCAGAGCAACGCTGAACCATTTGAAGCTGATACATCCCTCTGTTTCATGTGAAAAAGGCAAAAATCAAGCAACACTGACTGTGTTTGTTTCTGATAGTTCAAGAAAATGCAACACACAAAGTGACGAAAAATAACAGAGTTGTTGTGCACCATGATCACTACAGATATGCTGCCTGTAAGTGTCGTGGAGGGTACAGGTTTTCATGCATTGATGAGTTTTTTGTAGAACCTGAATACCATGTGCCTGTGAGACAGACTATAACCTCGCAACTAGAGAAGTGCTATGAAGACTCTGAAGTCTGTCTGGGAAAAATTGGAAAATGCCGTTAAAGTAGCTTTCACCATTGTCTGCTGGACAGCATTAACTACAGAAAGCTACATGACTGTCACTTGCCATTATTGAAAATTGGGAGCTTCAATCCGCAGTTCTACAAACCGAAAGTATGGCAGAACGACATATAGAGGAAAACCTTGCTGAAAAATTAAACACTACAGTGGAAAGATGGGGTTTGGCAGGCCGTGTCTTGGCGTGCGTACACAATAATGCAAGCAACATTGTGCTCACCAACATATTGAGGTATGTTACATGGGAATCTGTCAATTGTTTTGCCTATACTTTGCAGCTAGCTATAAATGATGGGTTTTCTTCAAGTAGTGTGGATCATGCTGTTGCAGCTGAAAGTAAATTAGTTAAAAGCAACAGAAGGTCCTGTGGCACCTTTAAGACTAACAGAAGTATTGGAGCATAAGCTTTCGTGAGTGAATGCCCACTTTATCAGACGCATAAATTAGTTGCACACTTCCACCGCAACACTGTGGCTGCAAAAGCACTTGAAAGAAAACAAACACAGCTTCAGGGTAAGCGACACCATCTGATCCAGTCGTGTAAAACTCTCTGGAATTCGGTATATGACGTGTTCGAAAGACTCAGTGGGCTAATAACAGCTGCGCTTTCAGATAGCTCTGTAACAAAACAATCTGATGCCCAAATGCTTCAGCTGCAAGATGAGCATTGGCAATTAATAGAGGATATCATACCAGTACTTTCCACTTTAAAATGTGCTACAACTGCCATGTCTGCTGAACAGTCAGTGCCGATTTCAAATATTTATTCAATTTGCAACAGTCTTCTCCAAACTCACCTCAGAAGCGAAGCTCCTGTCGAAAATGGAAAAGTCGTTGATTTCAAGGCTGCTGTTCGTCACTCTCTGGAGCATCTTATGAAACCCAGCGATCCTGCCATAACTGCCAAACCTGCACTTATTGCCTCCTTGTTAGATCCATGCCATAAACACATGTGGTTTCTTTCTCCTGTTGTCCAAAAATCAAAGCTTCTGCAACTTGCATCGATGTTAGAAAAATAGAAGAACCTCTAAGTGCTAGGGCTGAAACAAGAAGTGCTGAACCGGATGAGCCGATAGAGCCAGCGTTAAAGAAAATGCATGAAACTGAGAAGAGTGCTATAGTGATGCATTTAGGTGAAGATTATACCAAAAAGGAGAATGAGGAGAATGCAGTAGAAAATGAACTGGAAAATTACTTCAGGGAGCTTTGTCCTTCATTGGAATGCAGTCCATTGGAGGGGGTCAATGCACAGCGTTTTCCAAGGCTTGGAAAACTGGCAAAGAATTACCTGTGCATTCCAGAAACGTTTGTGCCTGCAGAACGTGTGTTTTCCAACACTGGCCTTACCGTTAATCGGCTGCACGCAAGACTGACAACAAAGCATATAAACATGTTGATTTTTTTTAACAAAAATCAGTAATAGAGTTGACATTCTAATCGGACTTTTTTGTGGTTTTGGACGGCTCAGGGATATTATGTAAAAAAGTGGGTTTTACACATAAGATTGGCTATTTATGTTGTTAATAAAGGCACTTGACAAAGATAATATATATATATGTGGTAGATTCAGTGTGAACCAGTAGCGCTGGAACATTTTTAATAGTGGAGGAGCTGAAAGCCAGACCCCTTACCCCATCCATCCCCCCTCCTCCACCCCCAGAGCTGTGGCCGGGAGCAAGGCCGTGTCTCGGGGGGAGGGGGCGTTCCAGACAGGGGTAAGGGGCCGGGCTATAGCGCCCCTCGCACCCCTAGTTCCCATGCCTATATTGTGAACTTGTTAACGGTTAAACGTTTAACCGATACAATTTTAGTAGTTTAAGGGTTACTTTTATTAAATACTACTTCATTCCTACTTCATATGTGTTTGTATGGTACCTAGCACATAGGGTTTGGAGCTTCTGGACTCTACTGCAATGCAAGTTTTT